ATATTTTATATACTGTATATTATAATTGTATTCATACTATATATTATATGTGGCATACATGTAATATACATACTATAATTTTACTATACATACTATAATTTTATTTATATTGTAGAAATGTATGTTTATATTTTCAATTTAGAGAATGTTTATTATTTCATATTTGCTTACAGCTTTTAGTTAAAGTTTGTTTTATATGTTAAATTATTCTTATACCAATCCTAAAACGGCAGTGAAGGGTGAATGGGTAGAGGGGTGGGCATGTGTTCATTATTTTTAAAAGAAACTGAGCCCCAGATATTACATAGGTAGAACTACTCGTTGGCAAACCCTACTTCATATTTGGGTGTCTGGCTCTCTCTCGCCCACATGATTTCTAGTGATGCCAACCTGACTGATCCCAGACATTTCTGTTGCTGTTCTGCTCAATTTCCTCTAATAGGGACTGCATATATTTTCAGTGAAATAAATGAGCTCTACCTCTTAGAATTGTGTTTGTTAAACTAAGAATGCGAAGTATGTGAACCTAGCCCTGCTACCAAAATATAGTTTTGATAAAATTAATAAACATTCCTTGACTTGCCTCCAATGTCTCCTCCCATGGTGCATATGCCTCTCTCTCCTCTATCTTTTCCGTGATTGGTTTTAAGGGACAGCGTTAGGCATCTCTTTAGATCAGAGGTCCTGTGTCCTGAGGCCAGCACCATGAGGGGGTGCTGGACACATCAACACCCAGATCAGGGGACGTAGTAACAGGTGCAGGTATGTTCCTGTGAGCTGTGTCAGGAGCCTCTGCCTGCTGAGACTCAGGGAATGGGAGCGTGTTACACTGAAAGCCAGCACGACAGACACACACTGTCGTGAGGAGGATGGTGAAAAGGAAGCCAGCGTGACAGACAACCACTGTCGTGAGGAGGATGGTGAAAAGGAAGCCAGCGTGACAGACAACCACGGTCGTGAGGAGGATGGTGAAAAGGAAGCCAGCGTGACAGACACACACTGTCGTGAGGAGGATGGTGAAAGGGAAGCCAGCGTGACAGACAACCACGGTCGTGAGGAGGATGGTGAAAAGGAAGCCAGCGTGACAGACACACACTGTCGTGAGGAGGATGGTGAAAGGGAAGCCAGCGTGACAGACAACCACGGTCGTGAGGAGGATGGTGAAAAGGAAGCCAGCGTGACAGACACACACTGTCGTGAGGAGGATGGTGAAAGGGAAGCCAGCGTGACAGACAACCACGGTCGTGAGGAGGATGGTGAAAAGGAAGCCAGCGTGACAGACACACACTGTCGTGAGGAGGATGGTGAAAGGGAAGCCAGCGTGACAGACAACCACGGTCGTGAGGAGGATGGTGAAAAGGAAGCCAGCGTGACAGACACACACTGTCGTGAGGAGGATGGTGAAAGGGAAGCCAGCGTGACAGACAACCACGGTCGTGAGGAGGATGGTGAAAAGGAAGCCAGCGTGACAGACACACACTGTCGTGAGGAGGATGGTGAAAGGGAAGCCAGCGTGACAGACAACCACGGTCGTGAGGAGGATGGTGAAAAGGAAGCCAGCGTGACAGACACACACTGTCGTGAGGAGGATGGTGAAAGGGAAGCCAGCGTGACAGACAACCACGGTCGTGAGGAGGATGGTGAAAAGGAAGCCAGCGTGACAGACACACACTGTCGTGAGGAGGATGGTGAAAGGGAAGCCAGCGTGACAGACAACCACGGTCGTGAGGAGGATGGTGAAAAGGAAGCCAGTGTGACAGACAACCACGGTCGTGAGGAGGATGGTGAAAAGGAAGCCAGCGTGACAGACAGCCACTGTTGTGAGGAGGATGGTGAAAAGGAGGCCAGTGTGACAGACAACCACTGTCGTGAGGAGGATGGTGAAAAGGGAAGAGAGCTGGGAAGTTTCCAAATGTGCTTTCCTGTTTTTCTCAGCTTGTCTCTCTTTTCTCATGTTCTCTTGTCTTCTTTCTCTTCTGTTTTTTTGTGTCCTTTATTTTTATACATTTTTTCACTTTTAGGTAGCACTGGATGTAAAATTTAAATATCTCATTTTCACTCATTATTATAGTTTTATTTTGTGTCTTTTCTTAGTGAAAATAATAGAACGTTTAATACTTCTTTCTAAAGCAAAACCTGAAAACATGATATTAATCTTTTACTTTTACAACTTGTGGTAGGTAGTTTTTGACACAAAAGAAAAACTGTTTCTTCTGAATACATCAGAATTACATTACTGTTTTGGATTTTTCACGAATGTTGTTAGACTGAAAATGATTTGACCTTTCAGAGCCTCTCATATCAGAGAATACAAAATATAATTTTATTTTTTCTTTAATTTAGAAATGATTAATACTTAAAAGAAAAATATCTTTTAGCAAGCAAGTCATTTGTCTCTTATTTAACAAACAATACTTACTGTATGGAAGACTCCATTCTAAGCACTTTAAAAAGTATTAACTACTTTAATTCAGTTAATCTTTGAAATAACCTCAGAGGTAGATACTGTTATGATTCTCATTTAAGGTTAAGTAAACTCAGACATGAGAGGCCAGGTCCCTGAAGCTGAGAGGTAGCACAACCAAGACAGGAAGAGAAGAATCACAGTGTTTTTGTGTGCCCATTCCTTAAATTATTCTATTAAAAAGGAATAATAATATTAAAGAAAAAGGGCAAAAGAAAGGGCATGAAGTCTAAAGCTATTAAAATGGTATCCAACTATTTTTATAACGTTTAAAGAAACAGGAAAGAATGGCTTTTGGGGGAAATGCCTCTTGGCAGTAAGTATAGTGAAACAGGTTGTGAGTGCGATAGAAAAGAAAAGATTACCCTGGATCATTGTGAAATTTTGCTGCTCTGATAGATAGTTAATGTGGGATTTTAATGGAAAGCTATACTTGAAATATTGTGTAGTGCCAGGCTTGTTCTGTTCTGATTACATTTCTTAACTCGAAAGACTTATTTTCATTTTTTTTATTATCAGGGGATGCTATTTCTAATTAGGAACAGTGATTGGATGAAATAATTTTAATTATGTGATAGTTATTTACATGTGCGTTTAATTTTGTTTCTTTTTCAGGCAACACAACTCCTTCTTTATGGCTGAAAGACGTTATCAAGAGAAACGACGCTTCCTTTCTCATCAACACATTTGAGGGGGGAGGAGGGGGCTGCGATGGGCAGTCAGGCATCCTGGCTCAGCCCACCCTCTGCCATGTGCAAGGGCCGTTCAGCCTGAGAGCCGCCCTGCAGTGGATGGACATGCTGCTGGCGGCGCTGGAGTGCTACAACACCTTCATCGAAGAGAGAACCTTGGAGGCATCCGAGGTCCTGGGTAGGTGGACTTACCCCTGAGTTAGTGTTGTTCAGTTCTGCCGGGAGTCTTTCTGGGAAAGGATCAGAGGGGTTTTTGATTTGACAGTTTGCTGCTGTCACAAAATAATAACAATGGTGATAACATAGCATTTATTTAGTACTGTGCAAAGAACTTTACCTGCATTCTTACTTAATCTCACAATGAGGGTGTGAGTATAGATGCCACAACTGAGGCTACAGAAACCTGTTCTTTTTGCCCTGTCCATAGGTTCTTAACCCTTTTATAAAAATAACCTTTTGGGGTTTTTGTTTCCAGATTGTACATTAAAAGGTTTCTTCCTGATCTGAGACTTTAAGATCGTGTTTCTGTTTCTGTATAATGCATCTTTGCTTTTCTTATTTTATATTCTGCAAGCGTTTCTATTGTTTGCCGAAAGGCAGAGTGTTGGGCAGGAGAAGGTGGGCAGGCTCCATCCTTTAGTGACTTCGTAGGACCTGTCAGGGCAGGAGAGGGCTGTGGGAGGTACATCTCTCCAAGGACAGAGCACTTGGAGCTGACTATTGGCTGTAGGCATGTTCTCTGCTTCTTGGTTCTCTGAGCAGCATATGTTAGTCTTCAGAGATTTCACTTAAATCCTCTCAAGAGAACCTCAGACTTGCTACTCAGAACATGTTCTGTTATTGAAATGATTTTTAATTTAGATGGAAATTTTCTCTGGTGCTGGGGGCGGTGGTGGTGGCGGTGGTGGGCTCTTGGCATTTTAATTATGATGTGTCTTGGTGTGGTCCTCTTTGGATTCCTTTTGTTTGGGGTTCTCTGCGCTTCTTGGACCTGTAAGTCCATTTCTTTCACCAGGTGGGGGAAGTTTTCTGCCATTATTTCTTCAAATAGGTTTTCAATATCTTGCTGTCTCTCATCTTCTGGCACCCCTATTATTCTGATGTTTGTACGCTTGAAGCTGTCCCAGAGGCTCCTTACACTATCTTCGTATTTTCGGATTCTTTTTTCATTTTGCTTTTCCGGTTGGGTGTTTTTTGCTTCTTCGCATTTCAAATCTTTGGCTTGATTCTTGGGCTCCTCTGGTCTGCTATTGGGTGTAATATTCTTTATTTCCGACCGTGTATGCTTAATTTCTAGTTGTTTCTTTATCATAGCATCGAGGGTCTCATTAGTTTTCGTGAGGCTCTCCAAAAGTTTATTGCAAGCCCTCAAAATTGCGTTTTTTAGCTCTATATCCTCCATTTCTGTCATGTTTTTTTGTCTCCGCATTTTTTATGCTTTCTTGGTGCACCCCCTTGTGGTCTTTGTGCGCAGTCTTGTTCTAGTTAAGCCTTGATTGTTGTAGTTAATACTAGAGGGATTTCTGTAATTTGTTTTTTTGAAAAGAAACTTAACAGTGTACTCAATGGAACCTAAATACGATAGAAGTTTTATAGTCAACATCATCAGCTTTAAAATACAGTTTCTTTACTGGAAATTTTGCAGAATCCCTGTCTTATTATTACTACTCCATTCTCCTTACATTTTTTAATCTTAAAGTATTATGCTTTTATGCTTATATTTTTATGTATAATTCTACCTATGTCTTTGAAACAAAGGGTGTGTTTATATAAAGGTTTCTTCTGTGTTATCATTACATTTGTTATTAGGGCACATTACACTCATTACCACCACAACATAAACATAATAAACATTTTTATAATTATCTATAATAATAAAAGCATAATATGCTAATTAGACCAGACGACCTTCCGGATGAAACCAGGGCTGCGAGGGAAGCCCAGGTCCCGGGTGCCAGAGGGAAGCCGGTGCCGGCATCCGGGGGAAGGAAGGCCTACTCTTGCACAAATTTCGTGCATTGGGCCTCTAGTTATATATAAAAGTAAGATTGTATGGTTATAATAATATTTTTTGTTCATTTAGATTTTAGTACTAAAACAACTTGTTCACAATAAACAAGTACCATTTTTGAATAATTCTAAAATAGACTTTGTTCCCACATTTAACATATCTATGGTTGGAATGTGTCATAGCTCATAGGCTGTGTAGTCAAGAATAGTTGGTATTTGAGAATGTAATTCTTAATGTATTTTCTCTCACTTCTTTGAATACATAGTGACCTGTCATCAAAATTATTTTTTAATGATTTGACAGTATAATTTATTTTCCTTAAATTTTATGAAAACAAGAATTGGACACCATTAGACTTATAAAAGGATTTGTCATTCAGTCATTACCTTTACTTATTTTTTCAACACATGTATCACTATTTTAAATTGTCTCTTTGGGGCTTCAAAGGTCTACAGTTAATTTGAGGAGAGGAGAAAAGTGTATCTATCTCCCAAATAGTAAAAGTAGCTGTGCAGATGCCAATAGTACCTTAAATATATTGTTTTAAGAGCTCTCATATATCCTCATTTTGAAAGTTTGAGCAAGGAAAAAAAGGCATAAAAATATGCAAAACCTCTTTCCTAATCACATTTCCTAATGATAAACATTATAACAGTTTAGTGTTTACTTTTCTAAACTTTTAACATATTATATATTTTTTAAATTTTCATTTTTTAGTTAATGGATGATTATACATGCTTTACTGTAATTTGTTTTTTTTAAAAGAAACTTAACAGTGTACTCAATGGAACCTAAATACGATAGAAGTTTTATAGTCAACATCATCAGCTTTAAAATACAGTTTCTTTACTGGAAATTTTGCAGAATCCCTGTCTTATTATTACTACTCCATTCTCCTTACATTTTTTAATCTTAAAGTATTATGCTTTTATGCTTATATTTTTATGTATAATTCTACCTATGTCTTTGAAACAAAGGGTGTGTTTATATAAAGGTTTCTTCTGTGTTATCATTACATTTGTTATTAGGGCACATTACACTCATTACCACCACAACATAAACATAATAAACATTTTTATAATTATCTATAATAATAAAAGCATAATATGCTAATTAGACCAGACGACCTTCCGGATGAAACCAGGGCTGCGAGGGAAGCCCAGGTCCCGGGTGCCAGAGGGAAGCCGGTGCCGGCATCCGGGGGAAGGAAGGCCTACTCTTGCACAAATTTCGTGCATTGGGCCTCTAGTTATATATAAAAGTAAGATTGTATGGTTATAATAATATTTTTTGTTCATTTAGATTTTAGTACTAAAACAACTTGTTCACAATAAACAAGTACCATTTTTGAATAATTCTAAAATAGACTTTGTTCCCACATTTAACATATCTATGGTTGGAATGTGTCATAGCTCATAGGCTGTGTAGTCAAGAATAGTTGGTATTTGAGAATGTAATTCTTAATGTATTTTCTCTCACTTCTTTGAATACATAGTGACCTGTCATCAAAATTATTTTTTAATGATTTGACAGTATAATTTATTTTCCTTAAATTTTATGAAAACAAGAATTGGACACCATTAGACTTATAAAAGGATTTGTCATTCAGTCATTACCTTTACTTGTTTTTTCAACACATCCCTCCCTCCCTCTCTCCCTCCCTTCCTCCCTCCCTTATTTCCTTCCTTCCTTCCTTCCTTCCTTCCTTCCTTCCTTCCTTCCTTCCTTTTTTTTATCCTCACCCAAGGTTATTTTTTCCATTGATTTTTAGAGAGAGTGACAGGGAGGGGGAGAGACAGAGAGAGAAACATCGATGTGAGAGCGACATTGGTTGCCTCCTGCATGTGCCCCGACTAGCGCTGGGGATCGAGCCTGCAACTGAGGTACATGCCTTTCACTGGAATCGAACCTGAGACCCTTCAGTCCACGGGCCGACGCTCTAACCACTGAGCAACCGGCTGTGTTTCTTTTGTTATGCAGGAGAAAGGCAACTGTGAAAGGGGTGGAGATGAGTAAGGAGCACAATCATATTTTCAGATAGATAAGTTTTGTGGAAAAGTTCATTTGGTTGATATGAAATTGATTTTATGATATACTTGTTTGAAGATGACTGCCATAATTGGTCTCTCTGTCACCCCTTTGAAGGACATTTAGGTTGTTTCTATTTTCTATTATTAAGAACAGTGCTAAAATGAACATCCCTATAAACATATCTTGCAACTATTTCAGTAGAATGAAATTTCAGTGCTGGATCAAATCATATGAGTCTCTCAACATTTAACAGAAATTGGCATACACACTTTTTTAAAGCTTTTGGTATGATTTGCCAAATTGCCCTTTAGAAAGATCATATTAATTTATACTCCCACAGCTAGTGTTTGAAAAGCAAGACCTAATCTTCAGTAGATGTGTTCTTACTCTGAGTTTAAAGTTGAATTCTGTTTGGGTGGTCTTAATTCTGAAATGAGAAGAAATAGTGCCATTTTATTCAGCTTTTATTGAACATCTTCTTTTACATTTGAATTTTGACTCATCGTGACTATATTTAAAGAAGAGGTTTCACATTAATCTCATTGGAGTTAGAGAAAACAAATGTTGATATTTTAATGCAATTTTTTCTAGGTACTGAAACACAGTCTTCACTTTGGAAAGCAGTGACTTTCTTTTTAGAAAGCATTGCTATGCATGATACTATGGCAGCTACAAAGAGCTTTGGCCCTGGGATAACAGATAACAGACTCAGCCCACAAGAGGAAGAAAGATATAATTACAGCAAATGCACAATTGTTGTTCGGATTATGGAATTTACCACAACACTGCTCAGACTCTACCCAGAAGGCTGGAAGGTAGGGTCACTCCTGCTGCTCTATTTGAGGACAATGCTTGGCACTGGAAAAATACGTATAAAGTGCCTATTAGAAGTGGTTTGGGCTGTCTTAGAACTTTTCATTGCTGTAGGAGTTACCTATTTTTGAAAATAATAAAACTGCACGTACTTCAGATGCTCATTGTGTGAATAAAATACAAAAGCTTTTCTGAATTTTTATTAGATACTAGGGGCCCGGTGCATGAAATTTGTGCACAGGTAGGGTCCCTAGGCCTGGCTGGTGATCAGGGCCCATTGGGGCCTTCCTTTCCCTGGCTGCCGGCTGCCGGCTGCTGGCCAGGGCCTTCCTTTGTTCCACGCCTCCCCCTGGTAGTCAGCGCACATCATAGCGAGCTGTCGAACTCATGAGGGGACAATTTGCATATTAGCCTTTTATTATATAGGACTGCATTTTCATA